CATGTGAAGGGAAGCAGGCTAAAGAGCCCGCTCGGCCACAGTACCTGGGCATGGCCCTGCCAACGACCTGCCTCCTCAGTAGTTCCGTCCTCCCGCCTGCCCACTGGGAATCACCCTCAGGCCCAGCTCTAAGGCTGAGTGAGAAGTGCAGGCGGCAGGGGTGGCAGACACTGTCCTGTCTCTCTAGTGCCCTAGTGCTGTACGCCTTTTCTCCACATGCAGATTGCTTTAATGAATGAATGCATCAGGGTTGGGGGGCAAGGGAGGGGGAAGCTTTACCCCATTGCATCTTCTGTGAAGAAATCACTTATGTGATCCAAGAACAGGAGAAAACGTGTATCAAAATTGTCAGCCCTAATTGAAGTCCAGCAGTCTCATGTGTAATCGTTGAATTCCTTATGGCACCGATCTATTGTCTGTTCACATCAGTTCTGGAATGATAGTCCCCATGCAGGCTCATGCTTGTCCTGTCTTTAAATGGACTTGCCAGTGCTGGATCACTGTTCTCAGGCCCTGAGCCCAGGATCTCCTTGGAAAGGGTGGCCCCAGGGCTTCTGGCTTGGAATCCATTAAGGCAAAGAGTCCAGGTGGCAGGACGGGCAGGGAGGAGGGGGCTCACCTGCAGTGGACGACAATGGGCCCGGCTTCGGGAGGGTTGAGGAACTTGACCTGGCGGACGAAGCCCAGGAGGCCGGTGGCGTAGCAAGGGACCCCGTGGTCCGGCCAGCTGGTGAAGTGGAAGAGGCGGAGCTCTCGGATCTCGTGGTAGCCTTTCTGAAGAGAGAGAGAGCCTCTGTCCTCGCTGTTGCTGCACGCCCCTCCCCGCACACCCTGCCCAGGCCTGTAGGGAGCCCCCTCTGCCAGGGAGGACGGTCCCTCTGGGGTTGGCAGGCGGTGCGGGGCAGAGAGAGTCTGAGCACGAGCTGAGGTGGGACCCTGAGTGCTGGCCTTCTCAGTGCCTTTGCTGCCTGCGTCCCAAGTCCTCGCAAGGGCAGTGCAACACACCCAGCGAGTCCCAGACCCACCTGCCCTACAGGCCCTCTTCTCTGCTCTGACAGGGGCTGCAAGGAACCGGACTCAGCAGAAGCGGCCAAAAGAAGCACTGGTCTCACAAACCAAGCTACACTGTTTCTGGGGAACACGAGGCCTTGTGGTGCCTGAGAGCTGGAACCCTCCACTGTCCCAGCATGTCTAGTCAGTCCCCAGGGCTTCTGCACTGTAAAAATGGGAGCGGCCCTCGC